CCACCAGCAAGAATCCTTTCACCCCTTTTCTTCTAGGCAAAGTCTTTCCTGCTTCCTAAGCCATGTGGTAAAAGGGTGCACCCTAAAGCTGCACAGTCCCAACTTTCACCAAAGCTGTGTGGTCCAAAAAAGCCCTGCATGGCTGCTGCACCTGGGTTTAAATCCCAGCACCAATCTTCCTCTGCAGCAACATTCCTGACTCCTCCTACAATCATTTACACCTGCCAGCATTCCTGTATTCTTCCAGCTTTACTGGGCTGCCATAGTAAGTCCGGGCAGTCATGTCCCCATGGCGTGAAGCCAATCATCTCCAAGCTCTTACGCAGGTGCTGTAACCAGGGGAGTTGCCTCCAAGTTGAATCATGGGTTGAAGTCATTCCTGTCCCCCTTACTCAAAGGGTGCCACAGCTATTTAACACATCTATGAAACCAGTTAAAGGTTATAGATATGTTAAATAACCCTTCTAGAAGTTATCTGCAAAACTGTTGCTATTCAAAACAACTCTCAATGGCCCTGCTCCATGCATCCCATCCCCCAACTCAGACTTGTGGGGGTGAGTACATCCTCTAAATATGTATTTTTCTAATATTTCCTGGAAACTCTGAGTTCTGGACCCCATTACAAGCCCCATTTGGGGCCCCCCTAGGATGTACCCTGTTACACATCCACTGAGCCACATCAGCCAGGCCTGTTTCTTTCGTGATTGGAACAAACCAACTGTAAAAGGCATCTTTGAGTTAAGTGAAGAAATTTGAATATGAACTGGGAGAATAATTATTAATTTTATTTGGTATGATAATAGCATGACAGTTACATTTTAAAAAAACCCTTACTAGCTCTGGCTGGCGTGACTCAGTGGATTGAATGCTGGCCTGTGAATCAAAGGGTTGCCGGTTCTATTCCCAGCCAGGGCACATGCCTGGGTTGTGGGCCAGGTATGCCCACAGTAGGGGGCACTTCAGAGGCAACCACACATTGATGTTTCTCTCCCTCTCTTTCCCCCTCCCTTTCCCTCTCTCTAAAAATAAATAAATAAAATCTTTAAAAAGAAAGCCCTTATTAGTTATAGGTGCATATAAGTGAGATGATTAATGTCTGGTGTATGCTTTAAAACATTGGGAAAAAACTGGGGGGTATGATATTGTGATATAATAATAAATACATATTTGGTCTTTGTTCCAAATTTCTGGAACTAGTACTTGTAAAACCCTTTGGATTTCCTGAGTGATAAGAGTGAGAGGAGTGTCTTTTGCTATTCATAAGCGCCTTTCAACCATACCTGCCTTTTTGCTACTAAGGTGGTGACTCTTGGTAGGCCCTCAGACAGCTTCAAGATTATTTCTCAAGAATAACGGCCTAGCCCTGGCTGGTGTAGCTCAGTGGGTTGAGCACTGGCTGTGGACCAAAATGTCGCAGGTTCAATTCCCAGCCAGGGTACATGCCTGGGTTGCAGGCCATAACTCCCAGCAACTGCACATTGATGTTTCTCTCTCTCTATCTCCCTCCCTTCCCTCTCTAAGAATAAATAAATAAAATCTTTTTTAAAAAAGTTTATTAAAAAAAAGAATAACATCCTGCATGTCTGGATTGTGTACAGCTGTGATTGTTTAAGAGGGAGCTGTGGGTCCTGTATCAACCCAAACCTGCTCTTCTAAAGAGCATTTTAATACCAAAGTTATTGCTCCTAAATTATTCACTCTCATGTTGCATTTTAGTTAAAGGTTCTTCAGGAAGCTGATGGTACTGATCTATAAAATGAAGCAACTCCTTCACATTAATACCCCCTGGTTTTAGTACTTGCTTGGTTTTGGCCCTCCCCTCATATTGACTATCTCCTTGGTGGCTAGAGGCCTTAGAGGTACTTCCTGCTGTCCCAGCATAATTTTTCACTTTGCAGACAGCTTAGAGGCTCTTGGCTAAAGCTTAGACTGACCAACATCTGAACTTAGTCTAGCAACAAAGTCCAAACCAGAGCTCTTTTCAAAAAATTTCATTTTAGCTATTACAGATAATAGCCAAAGGATTGTATATTTCACTTTTTTCTTATTAGTTTGTATTTCCTTATGCATCCAGTGAACCAGCTCCTGGGAGTTGGATCTAACTTTAAGTTCCACTTGTAACTTTTACTTTCAGTAAGCGATTGCAGCACAGCTGAAGTTCCATACCAATGGTGACCATGTGACCACCCAGGAATCAAAGCTTCCTCATTCCCCACCCTTTTGTTTTTTCTTTTCCCAAATTAATATAGGAGAGGGGCATAAGAACTATATGAATTAACTGAAGTCGAAGTTAAGTCAGGGGCCTGCTATATACTTCCTGACACAGAACTCCACTGACCTGAGATGCAAGCAGATCATCAAGAGCCTCTGGACAAAGAATATTCCAGCACAGATTGAATAATAGCTACTCACCCTTACCTTATCATTTACCTGTACCATGAAGGGAAAACACACCACAAAACATATCTTGTAAAGGTTAAAGTTAAACCCGACATGTTTTTCCACTCTGTATTTCCTCATACCAGCAATTTTCTGTAGAAACTGCAAACAGATATAAGTTCAACCTCTAGAGATGGTTGGGGTCTCTTCCTTCTCTTGGGAGGAGAGTCTGCTATTCTGTCTGTGGAGTGGTTTTTCTTGCTTGTCCTCTCTGTTCAATAAAACCTGCTTTTTCACTTTTACCTTTTGTCTGGCTCATGTCTTAAAGTCTTAAATTCTTTCCCATAAGGAGCCAAGAATCCTTTTGGTTTAGGGCTTGAGTCTCCCCTAAGGGACTTGCTCCTTCCACATCAAAACCTCATATTTCTGTGAGCCAGGGCCATTCTAGCAAATCTCATTTCTGACACCAACTGTTAGCTATTTTTACAACCAGCACTTCTTACACTAAATTTGTGGGTTATTTTTTTCCCCTCACCAACCAATTCTCCAAATACCCATACACCAACTGGGTGTCCTATAATTCAATCAGTTCTGACACTAAATACCCAGAGTGAGCTTAATCCCACAAGTGCCCTCCAGCTCAGATGCCACTCATAAGTCCTGGCCTTCCATAAACCTGACCAACTGACTCTGCATTGGGGGTTCCCATGACCCCCTCCTCAGGTTCACTAATTTACTAAAATGGCTCACAGAATTCAGGAAAAACAGTTTATATTACTGGTTTATTATGGAGGAAGAGCCAAACAGAAGACACACACAGGGCAAGGCATAGGGAGGCGGTGTGGAGCTTCCATGCTCTCTCTAGATGCACCATCCTCAGCACCTGTGTGTTGTTCACCAACCCATAGGGCAGAGGTAGAGATCTTCATGAAGATTACATTATGGAGGCATGATTGAATAAATATTGATGGTTAACTCGATCTCCAGCCCCCCTCACACCTCCCTGGAGGTTGAGGGGTGGGCTGAAAGTTCCAGTCCTCTAATCACATGGTTGGTTCCTCTAGCAACCAGCCCCCATGTGAAGTTAAATACGGGCTCACCTGGGGTCACCTCATTAACATGAACACACATATGGTCGACAGGAGTTTATGAATAACCAAAGACACTCCTATCACCTGTATCACACTGGAAATCCCACAGGTTTTATGCCAGGAACTTCAGACAGACCAAATATGTATTTCTTACTACATCACAGTATCACAGGGGGTAATAATAAAATGGTAAAAATGTTGATAATTGTTGAAGTTGAGTGATGGGTACATAGAGACTCATTATACTAAGTCTCTGGGCTTGTGTGAATATTTGGAAACTTAGATAATAAAACATTTATAATAAAAGAGAGAGCGCGCACGGCACCTTATAAGCCATAGCAAAGAGTCTCAACTTGGTTTTTAACTATTTATTTTGAAATAATTTTAGATTTTTAGATGAGTCGCAAAGATAGTAGAGCATTCCCATATACCCTCCACCTATTCCCCTTTAATGTTACATCTGATAGAACCATGGCATATTCATCAAAACCAAGAAATTCACATTGATCCAACACCATAAGCTAAACTACAGACTTTATTCAGGTTTCCCCAGTTTTTCCACTCTTGTCTTTTCTGTTCCAGGATCCAGTTCGGGCCACTGCATATCTAGTCGTCGTGTCTCCTTGGTCTCGTTCAGTCTGCCAGTTTCTTGGTCTTCCCTGGCCTCTCATGACGTTGACACTTTTGAAGAACAGTGGTCAGGCAATTTGTAGACTGTCTTACAATTTGGATTTGTCTGATGTTTTCTCATGATTCAACTGAAGTTATGGGTTTTTGCAGAGAACACTGCAGTGGTGATGTGGCCTTCTCATTGCATCTTGTCAGGGAGCATATGATGTGAACATGACTTACTGCTTCTTTAACCTTAATCACTTGGTTAAGGTGGTGTCTGCCAAGTCTCATCACTATTTTTCCTTTTCTATACTCAGTGAGAGTCACTAAGTCCAGCCTACACTGAAGGGACTTTAAAAGCAGAGTGAAGTCGCTGAGATTTGGGGGCAGGGTAATGTGTTTGAATGTCTATTTGAAAAGGGGTGTGCTGGCTGACAGGTGGAGATGAGTTTGTGGTGAGGCTGGACATAAACTGGTAGATTTGACTGACTTTAGCAGCCTGACTCAGCAGGAGTTGGTTCCTGATTGGGTACGTGTGAGGAGAGAAGGTGAAGTCACCTATGGCCTCCAGGTTTCTAATTTGAGCAGCTGAGTGGCTGGGGCCTTGCACTGAATATACACCAAGTGGTCTGTGTGACCCTTGGAGGTTGTGTGCTTCCCAACCCCCCCAGTAAGAAGCTACTTTCTGTTTCTTGGTCTTGCTTTGGGGCAGGCCCCTGTGAGCTGCAGGGTTGGGAAAATGATTTACCTACATATACGCTAGAAGTTTGGGGTTACCAAGGTGGGTCAGAGTCTCAAGTATGAGAGGGGACAACCACCAAGGGACTGCAAGAAACTGGAGGAAAATGTCATCCCGAAATACTTTTCTCCCCTCCCTGTTTAGTGACCCAGTGATGAGCATTTGACTGAGTGGTTTCAAACAAGCAATTTTATTTACCTTTTCCGTGTTCTGCCAGCCCACCTCCCCCTCGGCCTTGCGTGTTTTGTGTCCCTTTCCGGGACCTGCTGGGGGAGTTGGGGGGCGGACCGCTATCTCTCATCCTTCACCTCCTCCGGCGGGACCCCCGCCCAGGTTTCTTTTCTCCTCGGCGCCTTCGGGCCGGGGCGGGGGCGGGAGGAGCCGGAGTTAGGACCGGAGGCCCCGGCCCAGGCGCCGGGCGGGTCCCGCCGCCGCCCTGCGGAGGCTTGTAGACTAGGTGGAAGATGAAGGCGTTGCAGTACCTGAAGGGGCGTGGCGCCATCAGGGGCGGTTTCCCGCCCTCTGGAGGAAAGCCGAGTCTTTGGGGTTGGGCGGGGAGTTGGAGAGATTTTGTGAGCTGGACCTCAAGAGGAGTGTGTTGGGGTCGTTGAGACTCGCCAGGGGCGTGGTGAGTAGTCAGGGCAGAAAAGGCAGGTCCCTACAACCCCTACAGGGTTGGGGCAAGGAGGGCCCCAGGAGAGCAGAGACGAGGGTAGGGGTGGGCCTTTTAGGATGCTCAGCTAGAGAGGAAGAAGTTAAGGGCCGTTGGTGGGGGCAACAGGGAGGGCGGCGGGCCCTTACCAGGGCATGCAGTTGTCGGCGGCTCTGAGACGAAAGGGGGAGCGGAAGGGGTTGGGCTGTGGAGGGCTGGTGCCCCCTCCGGTGGCCACTGCCATGGTCTGGTCGTCCATCACGCAGCCGTACTCGCTGCTTTCAGTGAAGAAGGCCGGCACTCGGAGGGACTGGGGTGGGGTCCGGGCCTCGGTCACTCTCAGGCTTTTCCCCCCAGGGACCGCCCCCCCTCCCCCCAACACACACACCCAGCAGCAAGGGTTGTAGCCTGGGTGCGACCTGAGGACCCAGATACACCGGGATAGAGGAGAGGTACAAGGCAGACGCAGGGAGGGCATGAGGGCCCATGGGCAGCCCCCAGGGCTGTGAAACAGAGAGATAATGGAGAAGCAGAGACTTTCAGGAAAGGAGGAGAGACTGGGCAGCGGGTGAGAGAAGCTCCCTCTTGACCCTTGCCCACCTGTAAACGGGGCAGTGAGCTCAGCCAAGTGTCCTTGAGACCAAAGCCAGAGTTAAATCCTGTGGACCAGAGGAGAGAAGGGAGAAGCTGGCTTCCATGGTTTTCTTCTCCCACCTTCTCCCACTCCTACCCCAGATTCTTACCAATAACCAAGTCAGGCTTGGGCCCCTGGAGCAGGTGGTAGGGACGTGCAGACACTTTGATCTGCAGGTCCCTTCGGCCCCCCTTCTCCTTAGTTCCAGAGCTGAGCCGTGCTGATACCCCAGAACCAGGGCGGACAGATACTTCAGGGCCATCCTGGGGAGCCAAGAGTGGGGTGAAGAAACCATTGGAAGTTAGGATACTGGAGGATGCATCAGGCAAGACAGAGGAGAGGGGAGGAGGGTGCAGAAGGGCAAGTTCCAATAAGGAGGACTGTAGGAGGAACCAGGGTAAAGAGCAGGGTCCCCCTCAGCTCTCACCCTCTGCAGGGTAAAATGCTGCTGGTCACTCTCTGGGGGCAGGCCGTCACCCACAAACTGTAGTTCCAAGGCCACATGTGGGAGCAAGACCAAGAGCTCCTAAAGGGCAGAGAGGACAGATCTAGGTCCCATTCTGCATCTACTTTCACACCCCAATGCCCAACTTCTGGGCCTGGAGGGACTTACCCAAAACACCATGACAAGGTCAAACTCCTTCCCAGCCTCCACCACATGAATTTTCAGCGACTGTTTGTTCTGGATGTTGAGCTCAGGGACTGTGTGAGAAGCTAGCTATTTAAGGGTATGGTCTCTCTCCTCTTCCCTCCTGTCCCCTACCAGCTCCCTGTTGCCCCTCTTCACGCATTCCTCCCCCTGCGTTTGCTCTCCTTACAGGACTGGGGCACCAGGTTGGTGATGACGTAGTACACAGTCAGTGGGTAGGTGAGAAGCACAGCCATGGGGGAGTCCAAGCTGAGGCCCCGCCATGCGTAGTAGTCCTGCCACGAGCCTGGGGAGAGTGCGTTACTGGGGGACCTGGCCCCAGGTCTCAGTCCCAACGCCTCCAGTCTAATAGTCCCCTTTATCTAAGCCACCCAGACTACTGACTCTCCAGTCCCTGTCCCTATCCCTAGTTCCTACCCAGCCCCTCCAGCTCACCCAAGAGGCCCCTGGGTGGATCTGGAGGCACAGGAGGCATCAGGGCAGGCCCATCCCCCTGGAGAAGCTGGTAGGGATCTCCTGAGAGGAGGAAAGAGAGAAGAGGAGCCTGGTGTCAGGGAGACCCCCAGCTGGCATGTTTCCCTCTCCCTTCCAAAGGAGCTGCATTGCTTGAGAGGACCTGGGACTGCAGCAAGAGGAATGGGGGGAGGAGATTGCCTAAGGATGGAGTTTCTGGATCGGGAGGGCAGCAGTGATTTAGAAGGTCAAGAAAAGGACTGAAATGGTCCTGGTAGTAGTGGTAAGGTTCAGTGTGTATATGGTGGGGTTTTCTGGGACTCAGACAACTTTATTCTCTCCCCTCCTTTCCCCTAGTCTGAGGGGCCCATGCCTGAAGAGAAGTACCACGCACCATTGCGAAGAAGGCCAAGAGATGGAGTGCTGCCCCGGGGGTGCCTGGGGGTGCCAGGGCCTGGAATCAGCATGCTTATCTGGGTCCAGTAGCCACGAGTGAGACCCCGTGAGGCCAGGAAGGCCTCCTTATCGAAGGTTTCACTGGTCACCTCTGGAGAAGGAGGAGGAGAAGGGCTGAGGGCTCAGGGGCTAGGGTCCTAGACTTTAGCTCTCCTCACCCTGGGTGTGAGTAGGGTGCTAGGTGGGGAGACAGCAAACATTTCTGAGTGTCTACAGTATAGCAGGCATCCAGCCTACAGAATTCTTATAAAATTCCCTGGGAACATTTGTTAGTATCCCTATTTTACAAATGAGGAAACTAAGGCACTAAGAAATACAATGATTTGCTTAAGGTCACCTGTTAGTGGTGGAGCTGGGAAGCAAGTGTTTGAATTGATAATTACAAATCCCCTAAGCTCTCTCAGGGACCTGGGTGCTGAATTCTTAGCTCCAGAGACCGTGTCTCCAGCCTCAGGGGGTCTAGTTTCTAGCCCGAATACCCAGCACCCAGCCCTTATTCCAGGGATCCAGACTCCAGCCTCAGGCATTTAACCTCCAGGACCCTGTTCCCTGATACCCAGGCATCTGACACAAAGATGGGGCCCAAGTTCCACCTTCTCATCCTGACTTCCTTATGGTACCTGCAGTGTAGGTGAAAGGCAGAGTCGCCAGTTCCCCTGTCCGCTCCATGAAGGCTGCAAGCCTTGGGCACCAAAATCTGTGGCTCACGTCATCTGGGCATCGCCGCCAGTCAGCCCGGAGACAGGCCTCTCCACAGTACAAGACAGCACTACACTGGGGGCTGGGGTCACAGGGGGTGTTGATGTCCCTGAGTCCTCTGCCTGCCCACTGGCTGCCCTGCCACTGCCCACATGTCACTCGCTCTGTTTGTATCCTCTCTGCCAGTAACAGCTTGTTTTCATCTTATTTCCTTGTTCTTCACTCTGTCTGTCTGCAGAGTCCCCCACCAGCCTACTTTCTCTCTGTTTGCCTGACTGCTGGGTCTTCCTTTCTCTTACTCCATCTTTGTGGGCTGCTCACCAGGGTGCCAGCTTCACTTCAAAGCTGTGCTTGTGACAAACATGGCAGGTTCGAGCCCGAAGGGAGGCAAAGGTGAAGCCTGGCTGGGGACCCCATGTCCTCATTGGAGTCTTGGCCAACTTCACTCCCAGCCTGGGGACCAGACTCTCCAGCTTTCTGAAGGGAGGTGGGCAGAGCATTAGGCTGCGGGGCTCAGAAGTCCAGGTCCCCTAGGCCTTCCCACCCTCAGATACCAGATTTGTCTACCGATGTAGCTGGGCATCTCCCACAGTAAGCTGTCGAGGCTTTCGAGGGTCTCCGGAGCCCATGGGGCAGGCCATGCTGTGGCAGAGGAGAGCATAGGCCCGAGGAGCCAGGTTCTCTGTCTCTGAGCCCTTGCCTGCACTCCTCTGGGCTCCTTCCATTAGCAGGTCAATGCCCAAGATGGTGCCATGTTCATCGGTCACCAGTAAGAGGCAGGAAAGGTGCAGGGGGGCAGCCTCTGGAGAAGAAGGGAAAAGTCAGAGGTGGGTGGTGTGGCAAGATGATCGGGGTCAGGGGTACCAAATACAAATGACCTCAGAGGCCAAGCAAGTAAACTAGGTGAGTAAGGGGAAGTAGGTGGAAAGGGTGTACCTTATCTAAAGGGTCAGCTGCTACAGAGCACCAGCATTTTCTGCCATGCAGAAATGTGGGCCTGCTGTCAGAACTTCAGTTTTTCTTAAGAAGGTTTAACTCCATACTTCAGGAGTTCTTTTACTTCCAATGTTTAAATCTTGGCTCAAATTTAAAAACAAAAACAATGTGGGACAATGAAAACACCTTTTCAGACCAGACTAACTTAAAGCCACCCTTTTGTTTGTGATTCCTAGCTGGGTTCTGAGTGGCAAGCAGGACTTCAGGGACAGAATATGTCTGAGCAGGGGCTAGGGCAGGGCCAGCTCTAGGTTCTTACCACTTTTCCGTCCCTTTCTCCTCTCCGTCCCAGTTCTGTCTTCCGCCCTGTCCTCTCGGCAGCCATCCTCAGCACCTCCTGCCTCCTGCTCAGACTCCTCTGGCTCCCCTGGAGGATTTGCTTCCTGGGGGGACTCCCTGCTCCCATGGGCTGGCTCCCCATCCTCCTCTGGTTCTACCTTCTCTGTGCTTGCATTGTCCTCTCCATTTTCTTCCTCTTCCTCCTCCTCTTCCCCTTCCTCCCCTTCCTCCAAACTGACAAAGCTGACATAGGGGCTTAGGTCTCGAAGGTGGAGTGGGGGCTCATCTCCCAGAAACCAGCCAGCCCCCAGGCCTGGTCCAGGACCTGGCTCTGCCCCTCTCCCCAAGCTGATGCCCACACTACGGTTGGGCAAGACATGGAGCACCCAAAGGGCAGGGTCCTGGGGCAGCCTTCTGATCTGAGCCTCCAGCTGTTGCCAGCGTCCCTCAAGGATGGTCTCCACAGCCCCACGCTCTGCCACGAACTTTCGGAACCAGCCAAAGAGGAGGGCAGTGAAGTCAAGGAACTCATCTCGGTATCCAGACACAAACTCCATGTCTTCAGGGGCACCGGGCCTGGGCTCACTAAGCAGAGAATGGGATTATATGCGGAGGGAGAGTGTGGTGGTGAGAATTTGGGGCTGGGTCACAAAATGCAGGAGGATGGGTTTAAAGCTGTACAGATAAGTGTTACAGGCTGAGAATAACGTTTTCAAGGCTGAAGATGGGAATCCGGGCATGAGAATGGGGGCTACACTTGAAAGTGGACCATTAGGGTTAAAGATGTACTCAGGAGTGAGATGGTATTTGAGGCTCAAACCGCAAAAGTAGGGTTTGAGTTGGGATCGAGATGAGGGAGGGCTAATCCTATCAGGAAGGGTTTGGCAAGGAGGGAAGAATTGTGGGTCCGTCCGCGGGGTGTGGGAGGAGGGGAACAGGAGGAGCCAGAGCATCCCCTCAGCTTGGATCGGTTTGGCGGTGAGCCCCGGTAGACCTAGCTTCTCCCGGCCGTTCCTCTACTCCAGTACCTGCAGCCGCCACCACTTTTCGAAGGTAAATACCTCGGGGGTGGGGGCGGGCGTGACGTCAGGGCTGCGGAGCCCACCGCCCGCTCCTCGCGAGTTGGCAGCGTGTGTCCGGGAGGTTCAGGCCAGTGTCAGTGCGTCTGAGCGCGCGGACTGCCCTGCGCGCATCACCCGGCCATGTGACTGGATCCAGCTGCGCCAGGACCCCGCCAGGGAAGTGAGAGAGTCTTGGAGGAGGAGGCGGGGTGTAGACTCCCCTGTGGACTTCCCGTGGGCGATCTGGAGTGGGTGAGCGGACGGGCGGGGCTGGCGACCCTAAACCGCACGGAAGGAATCAGCCCGTCAGGTCGCTGCCCGCCTGCCCCGCCACGCCGCAGCGCAAGTTTTCTCTTTCTTCGGACATTTCGGTCAACTTTCGACGAAGGCTCCGGCCCCGCAAGGGACGTGGGCGAAGGAGCTCCGCCTTTGGGGGTTCCCCCGCGTGGGAGGCTGGAGTCCGTGGGGAGTCCACGTACTCACTGCGCTGTCGGTTCCAGACGCTTCGAGCGCCGGGAGGGACGGAGGACCTTGAGCCACCTCCCTCCGGCCTCTGTCTCTCCCAGAATCTCAGGCAGAGCAGGTGAAGGAAGCGAAAGCCTTAGAGAAACCAGCTGACGTCTCTCTCGTCTCTCTCCGCCAGTCGGGGAAGCCAGACCTGGCTTGTCCCCGATATGAGGAGGGCCTGGAGACCCCAGTTCCTCGGCCTCCTCCTCCTTCTAGCGGCGCTGACTCTGCCAGGTTCGTCAGGGGCAAGGCTGGGGCCCGGACTCCGGAGTCGGAGTCGGGGGAAGGGGAACGGGTGTGTGCGAGGGTGGGGCGTTAGGGCCTCGGGATTGAGTTGAATACATGGGGAGACAGGCGTTCCAGGATCCCCAAGGCAGCGGCGGCAGGGAGGGGGCCAGCTGCCAGGAGGTAGGGTCAGGCTGGAGGACGCCTGGGTACAGCTGGGATTATGAATGAATTTGGGGATGTGATGTGTGGATTGAGCCTGGGAATCAGACCCGGAGTCTACGGGAGAGGCCGCAATGGGGCTGTGGGTTGGAGGATGAGTAACAGCTTGCGGAGCACCTTGGCCTGGGAACCGGTGCTTGACCACCTCTGTCCCGCTCAGGCAGTGGCAACGAGGGCAGCAGCGCTGGAAGTTGTCACTGTAATAAAACGTTTCCTTCCAACGACCCTCCAACGGATAAACAAATGAAACATCTCCGAAAACAACTGAAACACCATACTCAGTGTACTTTCTTCGTCAGGTAATCTTACCCCCTAGAGGACAGCACCTGCCAAGTCCCTCCTTGCCAGGGGCCTCCAGGACTCTCTCTGGTCAAATGTAACTCCTGGGAGGACCTACCCCTTCTCTGGGTTATGTTTGCCTTAATTCTTATATCTCACCCTTCAACCTTCCTGGGGAATTTCCCAGTTGGGTGTGACCTCACCTGTTTGGAATGAGGAAAGAGCTGGGAAAGTGGGGGGCACCCTCTCGAAGCTGAGACCAGGTTCTTCCTCATCAGGTTCCACCTACCTCGTGGGACTGTGTGTGGGGGCAGCAGCGACCCGTGGGTGACTGAATTGATCAGCTGCATTAAACGCAAAGGTGAGAGCTTTCCCCTCCCCTCCAGGCTACACCAGGGGTTAATGTGTCTCCACCTTACAATTTTCCTTGCCTTAGGTCTTTTCCCCGTGACACCCCACATTCCTATTCTGACACTGGCCGAAATATTTTCACTTAAGGCGCCCCATTTACCAAACGTCATTCACCACCACTTTCATGATTTTTTGCCAGTTCATCCTGTACTATTATTTGCTTAATATTTTTTATTGAAATCAAGGCATTGTTTTTTTATGTATTGAGTTTTAGAGATAGAAGAAGGGAAGAGAGAGATAGAAAGATGGATATCAATTTGTTGTTCTACTTATTTATGCATTTTTTTGTTACTTCATGTATGAGTCCTGACTGGAGAGCAAACTGGCAGCCTTGTTGTATCGGGACAATACTCTGACCAGCTGAGCTATTCTGCTGCCAGGGCTCAGGGCACTATTTTTGTTTCCCATTACTTTATGGAAAGTTAAAGACATACAGTATGCAAAAGTTAAAAGAACTGAACAGTAAACATTCATATACTCACCACCTAGATTCTATAATCTATGATTGTTGTTTATATTTTAAATATTTTATATATGTACATAATAAAGCAAATATATTTTACAATATTGAGTTTATAGCACTTTAATTATATTTGCTTTATTGTACATTCATCTGTCTGTCGTCTATCATCAATCACCTTATTTTTTTGATGCACTTCCGAGTAAGTTGCCAGCATGACTATACCCACAAATATTTCAGCATGCATATTATTACGTAGAATTCAATATTGTTTTGTTACTTTTTTCTTTTGAGGTAAAATTTACACACAATGACATGAATAAATCCTACGTGTGCACAAGCCACTTTTGAAAAACTTAAATAGCAACTTGTCCTAAACAATAATATCTGTGAAGTCACAAGTTTAATGCACTGGTTGTATTTTTCTCCTAAAATAAACACACAGCCATTAAAATACAAAGTGGTTTTCATGTTACACCTAAATTTGTCTTGTGTAGCCTCAGTGTAAAGCTTACTGCCCTCTGGGCCCCACAGGCCTTTCCTTACCTCATTTAATCCTCCCAGCTACCCTGGCCCTTGGTACTAAAATTATCCCCACTTCGAAGCTGAAAGAAATGAGTCCCTGAGAGGTTAAGAGACCAGGGGCAAGGTCACATAACTACTTTATAGCAGAGCCAGGGTTCCAACCCAGATCTCTTGATTTCCCAGGTCAGAATACATGCTCATTCCAGTGGTTTCATGTTGTGGTTGGCTCACTTTCTTCCCCACCTTTCACCTCAACCCCTGTCTTGCTGTCCTGATCTTCAGCTATTCTCTTGATATTCTCCCTGACCCATGACCCTCCCTCTATCTACTTCTTCACCATGTCCCCTCCCGTCCCTGATTCTTCGCTTCTTGCCTCTCCAGAATGTGGACATGCTTACTCTGGGGGAGTGGCCCACCAGGACCACTTACCTCCCCCCGGCAGCCAGGTTCCAGAGTCCACAGAACGGACATCTGCAGTCACAGGAATCTCTGCCCAGACGTACTTGCCACCCACTTTGCAGTCTACCCAGCAGCCCACCCATCCAGGAGGCATACTGTTTGTGGACAAAAAGCTCATTCACAGCAGTGAAACCACTACTTCCTCTGTGGGCCTCAGTCTGGAGGCTGGGCCTGAGGCTGGGGAGAACAAGAAGCGGTTGGAAGAAAATGTGGGTCCCACAGGTGGGACACCTGCTATGGTGCCAGTGCTGTCCCTCTTGGCCATCAGCTTCATCCTCACTGCAGCCCTCTTCTATGTGCTGTGTAAGGGGAAGAGTAAGAAGTCACTGCAGTGCTCTCCAGGTACACTGGAACTCTGAACCCTTCCATTAGGGGCCAGTATCTCTGGCAGGCATCCTGACCCCAGTAGCTTCTAGGTAGCTGGAAACCCACCCCAAGCAGGCAAATATGCAAGTTACTTGCATCATGGACCATAGGTCACAAAAGAAGAGTTAGCCAGATTACAGAATAAGGGATGCCACCGTGAGTCCAGTGACCAGTGCCTAGCCTTCGAAAGCCAGGCAGTGCTTGGAGAAACATTAAGACGTCAGCTAGAGCAGGCTAGTGGGAGATGAAGCTGTGGAAAGTGGGGACCATCCATTTAATTCACAAATCTTTATTTGTTTTTATTTTTAAGATTTTATTTATTTATTTTTAGACAGAGGGAAAGGGAAGAGAGGGAGAAAAATATCAATGTGTGGTTGCCTCTCATGTGCCCCATACTGGGGACCTGGCCAGCAACCCAGGCATGTGCCCTGACTGGGAATCAGACCAACAACCCTTTGGTTCGCAGGCTGGCACTAATCCACTGAGCCACACCAGCCAGGACCACAAATCTTTACTGAGCACCTACTGTGTACCAGGTTGTATGGTTAAATGTTTTGGAGTCTGATTCTCCAAGTTATCACTACCCCCCACCCCAACTTCTCTTGATCTCAGAGCTCATCTCTCAATTTATCTTTTCCAGATTTGCAGCTTCAGTATACACCTGTGGCACCAGACTCCTAACACTTGGACTAAGAATGGAAGCCTGTGATTATGATTAAATATCATGTACGTTGCATATATTTAAACAACCTCTCTGGTACATGGTAAGCACTCTGTATACACATAAATAATCAGCCATTGTTCTCTCTGACTTTCTTCTGCTTCTTTTTTTTCCCCTGTAAGTGTAATTCCACTTTAATTTTTTTTTTATCTATTTAGAGGGAAAGGGAAGCAGAAAGACAGGGAGAAAAACATCAGTGTGTGCCCCTCACATGTCCCCAACTGGGGGCCTGGCCTGCAACCCAGGCATGTGCCCTGACTGGGAATCCAACCAGTGACCCTTTGGTTCATAGGCCTGCGCTCAATCCACTGAGTCACACCAGCCAGGGCTAATTCCACCTTTAACATGGTAAAATTCTGGACAAATTCTGTATGTGTACTGTTTTTTACTAAAAATTATTTGTATAATTATTGACTCTTCCTTTCTGTATACATTGGCTTCATGCCCCTTTCCATGATTCCTGGCTTTAGCTTCTTTGCTGATGGTCCTGTTCCCATCCCCCAAAGTTTCCCTTCGCACTATACCAACTTCAGCCCTCTTCTGACCCCACACTTAAGGCCCGGGCTTTCCCACTCTCCCGCAACAACCGCCACACAGACTAGTTTTACTTCCTCAATCCCTTGAGTCACCCACATATGCCCCAGTGATAGTCTGAGCTCATTGTTTTTGTTGTTACTGTTTTTATTATTAAAACCCTTAGTTCTTGTTTTATCTCTCCCAATGAAGAAGAATGTACAAGTCTGTGGACGCCTGGGACAAAGACATGAAATACATGAGGAAGTGGGTTGTGTGTCTGAATCTCTGTCTTCTGTCTGAGCTTTTTAGCACTTCTGTGAAATGCATGCAGAACAGCAGCACCCTGCTGGGGGAACCAGGGCAGAGTTGTAGGCAGGCTCGGTCTTTAAATTTCTCCATTCCCACCTTTTACCTCACTGTCCTCATATTCTGACCAACAGGGCAGGCATGGCAGCCTGTGCTCCCCATCCTGCAGGTCTCCAGGTTCTGTCCCGGGGTGCAGGTGGTAGTCTCATTCCAAGCTGTCTCTCCACCTACTTGGCTTAGTTTTCCAGCATCTGCTCACAGGTTCGGGCCACATCACTGAGCTTGAGGCGAGCATAGTCCACTCGCTTCAGGGCCATCTGACAGTCTTTCCTTGAAGAATAGCTGGAGCCCTCATGGGGCTGCCCTGTGGCCACCTACAGGACATTTCAACTGGTCAATGAAGCATCCCCTCCCTTGTCCATCTCCCCAACAGGGCATCAGGTCTCATCTCATTTCCTCCCTGAGTTTGAATCTATTATACCACATGGTATCTGGATGACCTAGGGTGAACCACTTAACTTCTGTTAACCTCATCTGGAAAATGGGGGTGACAGTAACTAATTCCTAGAGCTGTACGATTAAATAAGATAATGAAGAGTGGCACACTGTGAAATTTTGATGAATGGTGGTTGCTATTGTAATGACTTCAGAACCCTCTCAATCCTGTACTTTTTCTCAGGATGTAGCCATCTGGGGTTTCATGCCTCTGAGGTCAGGTCAAGTTTCTAGGGGCAAAGTCCTGTAACTCTGGGATTGTTTACAAGCCCTCTCCAACGCCTTCGCCTTCCTCAGCTAGTGGCTCATAAGATGAAGCCCAGTGAACTACGCCCCTCCTTTCTTTCCTTCTAGAGGAAAAAACCGGCCCTGGAAAACAGGGGTCCTGACAGGGTCATCCAGCCTGGTGCCAACTTGGGCAGCCTGGTTTTGCGTGGCTCCCAAGGCCAAGGCTCTACCTGGGCCCTCTGAAAGCTAAGGTTAAGACAGACAGCTGGGTGGGCGCACTGCACCTCCTACCACCCACCCACCTGGGTTAAGTAGCGGATCTGAGCCGACAGCTCCGCCTCTACATGCTGCACCGACGCCGTGAAAGCCGCCGCTTGCCGGTCTAGCAGCCGTTCATTGGTTTTTTCCTTCGAAAGTTCCAGGATCACGGTACCTACCGAGGAAGAGAAAGGGCTGGGTTACTCAGAAAGCTCCAGTAGAGCCCCGCCCACGGGCCAGCCCTACCAACTCCCGCACGCGCAGCGCAAGCCAGTAGGATCCCTCCCCAACCCCGCTCCAATTCTCGGGTTGGCGCACGTGCTCGCGGCTCTCTCTCACTGTCTGCCATCCGGTCATCGTATCCCCAACCTGCATTCTGAAGAATCGCGCCGATTTCCCGTTCGATGTCTTCCAGGGCGCGTAGTCGCTCGTTTGCCAGGCTGTAGGTTGCCATAGTCACTCTGGAAAACGAAGAGATTTCCTTTGGTGAAACGCGAGGACGCTGGAACCCGGAAGGGACAGCCGTTTGCGTCTGCGCAGAGAGCACTCTCTAGCCGGCACTACAATTCCCAGGGTGATCAGCGCAGCCTCGCCATTCTTGGTTCACCTGGTGAACTGTAACTCTCAGGGAGCTTTGCGCATGCCCGGGGCTGCGTCACCGCACGGGATTACCTGTGTAAGAGAAAGTATTGGGAACGTTCTCTACCCAGGGTTCTTTCTGACTAGTCCATTTTCTCGACTCTGACTTGTGGTCTATAGTTAATTTCGTCTACAAGAACTTAAGCGTCTCGCTGGTGCTAGGCGATGATGATGGGAGGGGAGTTCTGGGGTATTCCTCCAGACTGCACAGCCTTGGAACCTCTCTCTGCTCACCCGGCTCTGCCGTCTGTTGGGGTCTGGGGAAAGCTCTGATTTGGTGAGTGTTACGTTATTCGCCCTAGCGCTTGCTCTTCTACAGTAACCCAGCTGAAATACCATCAGTATATTCTCAGAAGCAGGCTTATTTCAGTCTTTTCCCTTTTCCCTTTATGGTTTTCCATTATGTGGTGGGCACTGGGGATACAAAGATGAATGAGATGGACCCTCCCGTGATAGTGGGATAGGTGTTTTGTTAGATATATGCCCCAGGTGTATCACCAGGAGCACAGAGAAAGGATTCTGGGAGGAGGTGCAGCTTGAGCCGATTCTTCAGGGTAACCAGGTGTCTATACCTGGTTGAAGAGGAAAAGGGAACTGGCACAGGCAAGCACATAGTGCTTGAAGGCGTCTAGCACATTTGAAGTATAGCAAGGGGTTCAATTCGGAGTGAATGGAATGTGGTGGTGGTTAGGTGGGACTGGTGAGACTGCTGTGGGAAGACACATCAGGAAATGGTTTGTGCCCAGGCTGGTGTGGCTCAGTGGATTGTGTGTGCAGGCCTGCAGACCCAATGGTCACAGGTTCATTCCTAATCAGGGCACATGCCTGGGTTTCCGGCCAGACCCCCAGTAGGGGGCGCGCGAGAGGCAACCACACATTGATGTTTCTCTCCCTCTCTTCCCCTCTCTAAAAATAAATAAAATCTTTTTTAAAAAGTGAGGGGAAATAGAGATTCATTTTACTGTGAAAGAATTAAGCATGGAGAAATATTTTTTCTTTGTTTTCTTTCCTTCATTTCTCCCTCCCACCTTCCCGCATCCCTCCCTCCTTTCCTGTAGTGGATTTATTTACCATGGAGGAAGAACCAATACAGAGAGGCAGAGGTTGAAGAGAGGGGAGTGGGACAGGAGTGACCTGAGCACAGGTGGAAGGATTAGTTTTGAACTGGAGAAGGCATCTTAACCTTGGTTGTCTAGAAGAATTGGTGTAGATGTCAGTGTTTGTCAGTAGAAGGTGGAAAGTTGAATCATTCAGTCTTCACAGCTTAATCTCGGAAAAACAGAAGGAGTCACTCTGAACATGAGGAAGGTTTGGAAAATTAATGAGCGAGATGGGAACAGCAGAGGGAGGTGACCAAAGTTATTGAGTGAGACAAAGTGTTGTCAGATATTGCTCAGAGACCATGAGTTTGTAGTGGTCCCAAAATCATATTTAGCACAGTGTTGGTACCTAGGATGTGTTCACAAATATTTGCTTAATGAATGAATAAATATGGTGTGTGATTTTTTTTTTTTCTGGCAGTGCTCACAGCCCAGTGTTGGAGTAGAGAAGAGCAGGGTGGTAGTTGACACACGCCAAGGGTGGGGTTTGAGAGCAGATATTGTGAAAGGAGAGAGTTGAGGGTGCTGGTGAGATAGTGGTATGATGATCTTGAATTTAATTCGAAAGAAAAGGAAGTGTCAAATTGTGAGGAAACAGAGTCAAGAGCTTTGTTATAAATAAATAAGCCGTGAAAAAACATAATAGGCTACATTAAAATAAAAAAATATGAATTATTAAAAATACCATCAATAAAATACTTTGAAACTGTAAGTGATGGTTGCAAAACATTGTGAATATACTAAATGCCACTGAATTGTACATTTTAAAATGGTTAGCTTTACGTTATATGAATTTGACCTCAGTTTAAAAAAAATGAAACAAATTCAAAAGACAACAAAGTGGGGAAAATATTTGCAAAATTTATGACAAAGGGCTAATTTCTTTACTATATAAAGAGCTTTTTGAGTACATTAAGAAAACATTGTGGATCCTGAGAAAGAAGATATCTACTAAGAAGGGCTTTTGGTGGCTAACTGGGCTCAAATTAAAACAAAAACACCACCCCCACCCCCACACCCAGAGCCTAGCAGCTGTTTCCACACAGGGGTTTCTCATGCAAACTGCACTTCAGGGAGAAGCCTGCGCTGAGCTACCTGCCTCTGCACTGAACCGCCTGTGTTTCTGACATCAGAACCAGCCCTTATAAAGGAGTTCTGGGAATCCTGTTTCAACGATAGGACTAAGGCTTTCTCCACCCTGTTGGAGCTGAGCAGTCAGCATCTTCAGGAAACAATCAGAAAGTCTCCATTCTGACCAGTCAGGACAGTATCTGGACCAATCAAATTGTGACAATTTGGAGTCTTTATTTGCAAGACGACTGACCAATAAAGGACCAGGGTGGGAACTTCTCTCTCTATAAGTCAGCTTACCTCTGGCTGCTCTGACAGACTGCTGTCCCTTTCCATTTCCCTGGCTGGAGCTGAAACACCGAGGGCATCTCCTTAGAGCAGAGTGGAGCAGTCTAGCTCTGGCCCCCATGGCCTCCTCATAGCGGTGGTGTTCCATAGCTGTGCTGTATAACAAACAATTGAGCTGTTTTGTGCTGAATGATATTTCCTTCTTCACCCCACCCCAAGTTGGGGATTCCTGTTGGCATTGAATTGGCACCAATGACCATTGGTTCACAATATCAGCCCAGTACATCTGGTTTATCTTCACTCCTAAACAAAAGGTTAATCTTTACTCCTAAACAAAAAAGTGCAAATTGAAGTAAGGACGATGCCACATGTCACCTGCTTATTGGCAGTGATCGAAAATATGCTCACTATCTTTACCCCAGAACTCTACTTTTAAGAATTTACCCTACAGATAGACTTTACATGGACATAAGGACATATCTTAAAGATAATTGTAATACTGTTTGAATTAGCAAAAGAGTGGACATCCTTCATGTCCACTGATAATAAGTTGGTAAAAATAACATCTAGGCACTGCGAAGTTATGCAGCTTTTTAATAGATTGAGATAGATCTATATGTGTCTTTTTTTTAAAAGATTTTATTTATTTATTTTTAGAGAGGGAAGGGAGGGAGAAAGAGAGAGAGAGAAACATCAATGTGCAGTTGCTGGGGACCTGGCCCACAACCCAGGCCTGTGCCCTGACTGGGAATCGAACCTGCGACACTTTGGTTCGCAGCCCGCGCTCAATCCACTGAGCTACGCCAGCCAGGATCTATATGTGTTGTTAAAGGAATGCTCTCCTAGCTACATCATTAAACAAAAAAAGCAAGGTGTAGAAGAGTGTTCATAGTATGCTACTGTTTGTTTAAAATAAGGGGAAAAGTATGAGTATGACTGAGTTTGGAGAATGTCTTTGGAAGAATATCAAAGTGGTGCTAGTGGTTGCTTCTGGAAATGAGAAATGGGAGGCTGAGAATCAGTGACAGGAAGGAGCCTTCTTTTCACTGTTTACTGTTTGAATTTTTTTTTAACTATGAACATATTTTTTACTACCTTAAAAACATAAAAACCTAGAAGAAAAAAGGCACTGTTTTTCAAAGTGTGTGCTAATTTAGAATCAAATTTCATACATTTTTTTCTGGGACCTACTGAATTGAAACCTGGGAAGGCAGAGCCTGAGACTCTGTGTCTTTATCTTGCATCCCAGAGGATTCTGATTCACCCAGAAAAGTTTGAGATCCATCTGCTGAGCCCAGAGATCAAGGAGCAGGTTCATGGGAGTCAGAGGGATGTTGGCTGTTCCTCCATGTGAAAAAGACCAGGGTGTGCAGGGTAGGCTGCTACTGTGGAAGGGTAAGCAAGCTTATTGGCATTTTGGAGACACTTAAAGCCTATGGGTAAATAATGACTTGATTAGATGTCACGAACTGTAATAGACTTGTGTGGGCCATCCCATCTGCCTTACTAGCCTTATCTGGAGCTACTTTGCCTGTGGCAATCTTTGTTGAAGTGCCTCTGGCCTCTTTCAGTCCCTGAAATAAGCTGTTCCTTTCTGCCTTCACACGTGGTGTTGCTGTTGCCCGGAATGCTGAACTCCTCAAAGTTTGTTTCTCTGCTCAAAGGTCACTCCCTTCAGGCAATCTTCCCCAAACCCCAGCCTAGGTCAGAACTCCATGTCACATGTTCTTATAGCTCCTGTACTTCTCTTTCCGGGCACAGATATTATAGTTAACTAAGGAATGATTTAATGTTTTTTTTGGTCACTGCTATTCCCTATACTATGCCTGGCACATAAAAGGGACTTAAAATCAAGATTGTTCATGGAGTGAATGAGCCTTAAATCGTAAGTCTGCGGCGCTGGAGTGGGAATGGGTGTGGAGGTGAGGAATGCCGGTGGAGCATTACCAACTCCCTCCAGCTTGGCCTGGGGCTTTGGTCAAGCTTCAGGGAGCCTCTGAGGAACAGCCAAAGAGCAGCATTTGGATGCAGCTCCTCGGACTTGCCCACAGCAGCATGACTCTGGCTGCCTAAAGCCATGGCTTCTGTGTTAGAATGTAAGTACCAGGTTCCACGGAGACTCTGTGTGACCTCTGTCTGGTGAGGCTGCAGCTGCATCCCACTGAGCCCCCGGAATGGACTGCTTGCACAACCAGGGGCAGTGGAAACGGATACACTAGGTCAGAACAGGTCACCATGTGGTCATGTGTGTGGGCCGCAACAAGGAACAGTCTATACTTTGTGGCTTTTCCAAACTGTACCCTTAAACATTGGACTGCCCAAATTAAGTTTTGACGTTTACCTTGGAACACAGGTACAGCCCCGTCATTCAATAAACATTTATTGTGCCATGTGGGTAGAGAGGAGAGATTAGGTCCTCACCCACAAGCTAGCAGACCCATGGGTGAGCACGGTCCTCACACACTACATAGGAAACACACACACTCATGCCTACTAAAAGGTTTATTCTTTATGCTCAGAAACAAAGAAGTGGCCTTGCCCCTGCAAAGGGTCTCAGCTTGAAGGAATGGGAGGCAGACAGTGACAAGAGGGAGTGTTGGTGTGAGGTTGAACGTGGCAGTTCTCTCGTCCCCCTTTTCCTACTATCACTCCTCTTCTCAGTGTCCCCCTCCAAAAAGTTTATGTATGAACATGGCTTGCCACCCATTGGAAGGTTGGGGAAGCACAGCCATAGTCAAAAAATTAATGCCCATGTTCAACAAGAGATAGGTCCAGTGCGTATCTGGTGGGGACGGGAGAGGAAAGGAGGGAAGGGGTTGGTTGAGGAAGCTGCTAGGTAGAGAGGAAGGGAAAAGAGGCAGGGACCCACTCCCCAGTGACAGTGGGAATCTTGGTCCTGCCCCTACCTCTCCCAGCACCATCCACTCCCTTCTTCCAGCCCCCCTTCCTAGCAGAACTGGTCGTCATAGTCATCGTCCTTCATCCCCTTCAGCCGAAGCCGGGCAAAGTCCTCAAATACGATGTCGTCATCTGTGGCATAGCTTGGTGGTGGAAAGGAGGGGGTGAGGCGAGGGCTTCCAACCCTCATCTCAACTTCCCACTCCCCTCCAGAGACCAAGGTGTTAGAGTGGCAGTGAGGCTGGGGTATTTGGAGGAAGGGACAAAGAAAGGGCAGTAAGAGGCATCTCACAAGGCTGTCCTCTTGATTTGATGCTTCAACCATCCCTCCCCCAAAAGAAAAAAATGGGTGGGGTAGATTTCAACATTAACAGGAATCTGTCCAAGAGTTAAAGGTAGGAAGGGAGGGGATGAGGCTCTTACTTGGTATCAAATTCAATGAGGTTGGTGTCCACAGGGGCATCTGTTTCAGGAGCAGCTGAGGGGAGGAGGAAAGTGGATGGGTGGGTGCTGGAAGGACCAGCTTTTCTCCAGTGGCCCTGCCTTTGGGGGCTTGGGGTGGGTGGCGTGCTTACCTGACTGGGCTCTGGGGACGGTGATGTGATCATGGGGCTTGGGATGCATAAGAACAAAGGGCAGCTCCACTGAGACATCCCTGGGGCAGGAGAGAGGCAGCACGAGGAGATGACAATGCAGAGCTGGAGGGAACCTCTGCAGGCCCCACCCTAGGCTGCCCAACACACTCACCCGCCTCGAGACACCACCAGCTTCACCTTGACCCTGTATGACACCAGGATCCCCAGCACCTCCTTGTTGGCACCCTCTTTCACGCTGCATTTGGGAGGAGAAGCTGGATCATGGCCATCACCCTGCACCTTAGTCCAGACTTAGGGCTCCCATCAGGACCCTGGGCAGGATCCACTGCAGCTCCCGGGACTCCAGCAGCACAGGCTGTGCCGTGGGAGCACCCCATGCCAAACCTCTGTGCAGGACCCTCCCATGGCTTCTCATCTCTCTCACAAAAGCTGAAGTCCTTGTGGCCTTACAGCCCTGTACTGTCTTGCTCGCCATCAGCCCTCCAACTCCACCTGCCACTCTTGTCCTGGTAGTTCATTCTCACCACACTGGCCTATAGGCCTGCTGTGTGGTCATGCAGTGTGTACCCTGAACAAAGGCATTGGTGGAAGTGAAGCTCAGCCCTTAATTTGTGAAGTTCTTACTCTAGGGCTGCGGCTGCCCAAAGACACAATGGCACTACAGGGGCTAGTAGCAGTTCTGCCAGCCTCCTCGAACTTCCTCAGACACACTGGCCTGGATCACCTCTCTGGGCCTTTGTGTTTGCAGCTCTCTCTGCCTGGAGCACTGCTCCTCCATGTCCATACCGCCTACTTCCTTTGGGTCCTTCCTCGAAATTCACCTCCGGATTATGTCTTCCCTGGCCACCCTATTGAAAATTAACACACCCTGTTCCTCTCTCTGCTTTCTCCCTTCTCTCCCTTGCTTTTTTTCCTTAACACTGGTCACTAAACATACTATATACATGGTTTGTCTAGCCTCCCTCCCCAGAACGTAAGAGGCTTTTTGTCTCTTCTGTTCACTGACAGCGCCCTGGCACCTAGGACAGAGCCTGGCACACGGCTGCTATGGAGTGAATGTCTCCTGGGCTGCAGGAGAGCTCCCCACCCATATTCGGCCCCATCCTCACATGGTGCTGGAAGCCAGGTTGGTGTCCTCATGCTTGAGCTTCCCATCAAGGGCAAGACCACGCTTCTCCCGGTTGTCGCTGAGCAGTGGGGTTACGGTGTACACCTTGCAGAATGTGGAACTGGGAGATACCTGGTCACTGGAGGGGGTGGGGACAAGAAGACAAGACTATTGGAGGGGCCAGGCTGGGCGAAGGGCAGATCATGCCCCCATTACTAGCCCCTTCTCTGTTTGGCCACATGTCACAAGGGAGTAGGTTCTGGCTCAACCTGCCCAAGAAAATGGACAGCTCAGAGCCATTGAATGAGAATACCCTTGAAGGTGGAGATGGTTCAGGAAGAATTCCACCCCCACCTCACATCCTTCCACACCCACTCTTCTCCCTTGAGGTTGGGACTCAGGGCTATTGTGACACTCACTCTTGTTCGATCTGAGCCACAGGGCACTTGTACTGGGCGGTGCTGAAGAGGCAGATGTCCGCATACTGTCTCACTGGTGGGGGGGGGCGGGGGTGCGTAGGGGCGGGTCAAGCAGCTCTGCACAGAGTGAAGACTACTGCCCCACCCCAGACCGTGTGGCACGAGACCAGGCCCCGGGCCCACACCACTCCCACCCCTTGTCCTTCCCTGCGGCAGTAAATGCCTGGTGTCCATCTCATTATGGGACAGCCTAATGAATTCTTTGAGCCCTGGTGGGTCTCCCACACTGGGTATGTCCTTGGGTTGAGATCATGCCAGAAGCCTCATGTGCAGCAACTCCCTCCCCGCTAAGATCCCCTTCCAACTCCCTCCTCCTACCAGAGACTTTGATCTTCTTGACAGTCTTGGTGGAGTTGTTGGTGACGTGCACATTGACACTGATGGGCTCCCCGTGGTAGTACAGCTGAGGGGAGGAGGGTCAGGTTAATCAGTTCTGTTTTCACTGGTCCCAGTCCTTACCAGCGTGCCCCTGACACAGACATACTGCTTGGCTTCTTCCCTCTAACCCTAAGTCCACAGCAACTCTCCACAGCAGCTAAGACAGCCTCTAAATATGCCATCTTGACACATGGCGTCACCCTGCCCCCAGGGTCTGACCTGCACTGGAGCACTGCGCCACCCTCTCACACCACACCTCTTTGTCCAGGGAAGCCTCCAGGTGCAGGGAACGGTCAGACATGAGGAAGTGGCGTGTGGTTTCAGCTGAAGGCTGGGGGCCGGGTTTCTCTGGGGCAAACTGCACCTTTCGGATCACCAGACGCACAGAATTCCTGGGAGTGAGAGGGGTCAGACCTCAGACACCCAAACACCCACTTCCACCTCCCACAGGGACTAGGGCTCCTGGGAGCTGGGACAGAATGGGCAAACCACAGGGGAGGTGCCTTCCCTCACCTTTTGTGGCTTTTCTCTTCTAGTGATTTGGCACAGAAGGCTCGAATCTCAAAGTCTACCCCGCAGGCCTCGGGAAGGGGAGAAAAAGCTGGGTCTTACACAAGGGCCCTGCTGCCGTTGCCGCTCCCTTCCTCTCCTTCCTCAGGGTTGGGTGGGACATTTGTCCCATTCTGGTCTAAGCATAGGGCCTGGCCCTTCCTCCGCTGCCGGCTTAAGGCCTGGCACCTGGCAGAGGCTTTGTTTTGGCTGTGTCAAGGTGAGCCCTTTTACCCAGGCATATGCAATGCAGGTCAAGAGCAAGAAACAGGGTCACATGTAAGCAGCAACCGTCCCATGCACACACCACCTTCCCTGGGAAGATTACCCTATCCTTCATCCCACCCTGGCTTTTTGGCAGCCCACCCACATCTCATGTGCCTGCCAGACCCTATTCTGTCCCATGGGTCCTCAGAACCATTTCTCTAGTACCTTCCCTGTGTCCTCCGGGCCAGGCTGCAGGGTGACAGAGCAGGGTAGATTCTGGGGTATCTGTGGCAGAGGAAAGGGGAGACTTCAGTTCCTCTTAAAGCCCCCAAGTCTTCCTCCCAAACTCAGTGTAAGAGGCTGGAGAAGAAGACCTGGGGATGAGGATGGAAAAGGAAAGAGCCTCAGGAAGGAGGCAGAGAGGCAAGGGCTTCCTGAGTGCAGGGCGACCCTGCGGGGAGGTGGGCCTAGGGTCCCTCCTTATTGTTTCTTCCAGATCAGCTCATAACAGGAGCTTCACCCCCCCAAACAGAGTCCCAGACCCCTTGCCCTGCAGAAGGTTGGGGGGCATCCTCACTGTGAAAAAAAAGGGGTGGGCATGCTGGCCCAGCTTCCTCAGCAGCCGATCCTGCAGGCGGGTGGGGGGCCGGGGTGGGTTGGGCACTGGGGGGAAGGCCTGGTAGGTGGCGATGAACAGGTCTTTGCGGAATGACAAGCCCAGCACATCCAGGTCTTCTCGGCCATAGCGGAAGGCGCAGGTGAGGGTCACAAACACTGGCAAGGGAGGGCAAGGTGGGGTGGTCAGGAGCTCCCCTTCTCGAGTCCACCCAGTGCTGAGCTGCAGCTGCTTCTCAGCAGCACGAGGCTGGTCTGAATCCTATACCTGGCTTCCACCTCAGCCCTCCATATCTCTGGTCTCAGCGCCAGCCCATTTCGATTCCCCACCTCCCCTTGGGCTGCTGGAGTCGGGGTCCAGTACCTTTGCGGTCCTTCAAGTAGTCAGGGTCCACAAGCACCACGCCATCTAGGAAAGGGACATATGAGCTCATTTCCCATGAGGGCCTCTCCTCTGTTTCTGGGTCTAGGAACTTCTCTTGGGGGATGGGCTGCCCCTTCCCGGGCACACTTACCTACAGGATCCACTTTGTCCAGGTGATCTACAAAGTCCCGCTTGCCCAAGTACACAGTGAGCTGAGGATGGAGAGGGGTCACAGGGAAGATTGGGCAGGAGGGTGGTTGGGCATCAGCACCTTACACAGGCTGCCCTGCCCCTGGCCTTCCCAGGCTGGGATGTCCAGGATTTCTCCTGGTTTCCTCCCAGTAGGGTTGGAAGGGGAATGTGGTGGGGCTTCACAGACTGCCCAACTTTGAGGTTTTTTAGCCTCTCTGTCTTTTCACACCTCAGCACACCAATCGGAAGTCTGTGTGGGTTTGTGGGTCACAGCCAGTTAGAGAGGGGCTCTGCAGTAAACAGGCCACAGCCTGGGGGCTGTTAACTGTTTCTAGCCCCAGGCACCCAGGGTTGGTTCCTAAAAGGGATAGGAATGGGCTTTTGGCTCCTCCCCCTAGGTTTTAGGGACCCAGGCTTGTCCCCACCCAGCCCTGTGGCTGGCTCAGGTGGAGCAGCCTTTGTGGCAAGGGGCTTCTGGAGGGAAGGAAGTTGGCTCTTAGCTGTCACAGGAAGTGGGCAGCTAAGGGTTGGGGATCGTCTAGGGGCAGGCTAGGCCCTGTCAGGGCCCAGGGAGGGTCAGGAAGAGAAGCGCTGTGGGAGACTCACCTTGCAGTTAGGGCTCGACTTCTTGAAGACCCTAACAAAACAGAAAGGGAAACTCCACTGCCTCCCTCAGACTCAGCAGGGACCCGGACAATAGGACCTTGTCCCTCCCCAGCCTGAGAAGCAGAGCTCATCCAGGGTTCCTGCCTGGAGGCTTTGGGGCTTGGTCCAGGCCTACCCTCCCTCCCCAGGCTTTTTCCCAAGAAAGAAAGGTAACCACAGGTCCTTAACATTCCCAATTTTGCAGCCCCTCAAAGCTGGTTGTCATGGCAATCCCCTCCACCCTTACTAGTTCCTCTCCATTATGGCAATGGCCACTGGTTGCCACAGGAACCACCCTGGCTCTTCCCAGAGGACCTCCCCCAGGGGGACCTGAATGGGCAAGTTGCAGTGTTGTCTGTATAAGACCTAACCTGCCTTCCATCTTCTCTGGTCCCCAGCTCCAGAGATAGCTGGAGTACCTGAAACAGTAATGACCTCGGCCTTTGCCTCTAAAATGGTTTCTACTATGGGCACTAGCTAACTGTGACCCTACTCCATTAACCTCCAACTCTCCCCATCTATGATCTCAGAAGCTTAAAAGCCTGTTTGTCTTTCAAGGCCCAGCTCCAATATCAACTCTTTTAAAAAGTAGATCAAGCCGACCCTGGTCACTCCTTTTTTTTTTTGTTTCCTGTCACACATTGTTTGTGTTTTATTTGTGGTGTGATACCACCCAAGGGCAGTTAGATGTGTATTGTCTGCTGCACTAGATAGACTGTGAGCATTAGAGGCCTTATTCATGTGGGCACCCCAGCACAGTGCCAGCCGTATGACGAAGATAATGCTAACATTTACTGGGTGAATACTGTACACCCAGCACTGTGTAAAGTGTTTCGTGTGCTATTTAATACTCTTAATAACAAGCTCTGTGGATTGCGTGCTGACCTGCGAACCAAAAAGTCACCAGTTTGATTTCCAGTCAGGGCATATGCTTGGGTTGTGGGTCAGGTCTGCAGTTGGGGGCATGTGAGAGGCGACCTCTCGCACATTGGTTTCTCTCCCTCTGTTCTTCCCTTCCCTCCTCTCTAAAAGTAAGTAAATAAAATCTCTAAAGAAAAAAAATAACACAGTGATGGAGATCCCAATATCCTTATTTTATAAGTGAGGCAACTAAAGCACAGAAGAGGTCAAGTGTTTTGCCTAAGGTCACAGTGTAAATGGTAGACAAACAGAGGTGGTCTGGCTCTGAGTCCACACTTAGTCACCAAACTATTAAACTCCCCTGCCTCTGTAATTGGGATTAAGTTTGTTGAATTGAAAGGGACTCACTTCCTAACTGCTGAAACAATCCAAGCCTATACTCCATGCACTGCTAGAAGAATTGAGAAGTATCTGGCAACTCCAATGCTCTGGCCACTTGTGGGCTTGTTCTTTGCTGCATCAGCCTTACAATCCATACCCAATCTACTCTGCCTCAGCAGTGATCTCTGGGAAGGGTCTCCTGATAGAAGCAAATGAAATCCTGCCAACTGGCCCATCCTCCTCCAATCCTACCACCTGTTTCTACTATAACTTCACTTGCCCATTCTTCCCAGAAGGCCAAGCTATCCAAAGGCCATTGGGCAAAGGCTATGGAGATCCCTGGGTATCCCTATCCAATAAAGGGGGGTAAACATTGATATGATGGCAACTAGAATAAGCACCCACCTACTGTCCTTTTGATTGCTATGGCATCATTCAGCTCTCCCTCCCCTTTGCTTCTGGTTTTCCTCTGTCCCAGTGTTTCTTCCTATTAGGAGCCCTGGTAGAGGGCTGCAGCACCCACAACCAGAGGGCCAAGTGGAGTATTGCTGTGTAGTAATTGCCCTGGAGCAGCTGCAGGGCACTTGCCCTCTGGATCCTGCTAGGCTAGGCTAGGGAGAATCAGCATGTATATACCGAGGCTGACCTAGGAGTCAGAACATGGGGGCGGGGGGACACAGAAGCAGATGCCCCCTCACACTTCCTGCTATTCTCTTTATTTCCTGTGGCCCAGAATTTGATAGGAGTAAGGGGGAATTGTGCCAAGTCAGCAATCCCCCTTTGGTCCATCCTTCCCCCTCTCTGAATCACTTAACGGAAATTGGGGGCCTCCCTCAAGTCAGCGACTTCCCCTTTCTCTGAGTTGTTTAACCTCAAATCCAGGACACTAATTCTTCCTGTGATCATCTCTCCAATACTGGTCAACTTGGTGCACAGAAGCCTGGGTTCTCCTTCTCAATAGGTGGGGAGTGGTGGGTCTGATATGATAACGTTTTGCAGAACAAGTGATGCTCAGGACCAGGCTCCCATTCTTGATCCCCTCTGGATAGAGGCATACAGCCCCAATTTTTCCTCTTTTGCTCCTGCTCCCAAGGGACCCAGGCATTCACCCACAGGCCCCTGAGGGTGTTGGGTCACAACAGGAAGTGGATTGTGCTAGAGACCAAAAAAGAGAACTCGGGGTGCCAGTGTAAGAAAGGAGCCTCGATTACACATAAAACATCCGGGGAGCGGACGGTGTGCCCAGGGCGATACCTCCCCTCATCCGCGGGAAGAGGGGTAAGGCCCAGACTCAGGGAGGGCTGCCAAGCACCCTGCTCCCTCAAGATGAGGCTGTTGCTCCTAGCAACCCCGGGGAAGGCAGAAGTTTGGAAGCGGAGCTCCCTGGCCCGTGGGACAGGTGGGGGCAGCCCCACTGCCTGTGGGGTATTAAACAGGAGGTTTTCTAGTGGCTAAGCACCAGTCTATGGGGGATCTCTTTTCCGGTATCCAGCCTGCCCATACTCTACCCCTCGGGACCGGCCACCTGCTCTTCCTTCCTCCGCCCCTGCATCACAGCCTGCACGGGAGTACTCAGTCGTCCGGCCCCCACATCCCTGAGTGAACCCAGACGTCGGTTTCCTGTTTCCCTTCAGCATTCGCTTTCTGCAGGGACCCTGGCATGCGTCCCCCTCATTATCCTCGAGGACCTAGGCGTGCGGCCCCAGATGGCCGCCCCCCAGGGACCCAGGCGTCCGGCTCCTGATTCTCTCCTCGGTGTCCTTGTCTAGAAACCGTCCAGGCACCCACCCAGAGCCACAGCCCACGTCCCTCCGCGTGGCCCCACATCCCTTACCTGGTCCCGGGTTTCTCCCCCATCGTGCGCGCGCCCGCTGCCCGCCCGGTCCAAGGCTTGCTCGCAGCCTCCCAGTCTGAAGCTAGGTCCCTGCTCCTCCCCACGCCACTGCGCACGCGCGCTCTCTGCTCTTTCTCCTCTTCCCCCTCCCCTTCAGGCCTCCCCATCTCCACCCGCCGCCTCCCCCGTCCCGGGTTGTGGGGAACCGGGGCCAGATGCGTCAGCCCGATCGCGCCGCCGCGCAATGAGCCCTTCCCTCATAGACACAGCGATTGGCTCCGCCCCCACCCCCTCTGCGTCTTCTCCTATCGCGGACCCTTCCCAACTCTCCGCTCTTCTCGCCCATTTCTCCGCCCTTCCTCATCCCCCTTAGGAACTGATTGGTCCCCCTTAAACGAAGGCTCCCGCCTTCGGGACATTAGAGCTCTCTGATTGGCTCTCTGCATCCCGAACCCTGCAGGGGTCCCCTCCCCTTTGTTTGCTTGCTCTGTAGCGTTGGAGGCGATGGGAGTAATGGGGTGGTAGAAGCGGTGGGGGTGGTGGAGGCTGTGGGGGATGTAGAATGAGCTCAAGAGCCGTCTGCGAAGGAGGGTGAGGGATGCACACGGGGGTGAGCCGTTCCAGTCAAGGGATGGTTGCTTTGGTGGGCACAGCTCACCCGCTCACCCTAGTGCTTGCCCTTTATGTGGCCAGCCCTCGCCTCTGTATTGTGGTGTGTCAGCTCCCCCTAGTGTCTGTGTTTAATCTTTGCAAGGTTACTTTGCCTAATTTCTTTGACTACTACTCAATCTCTCTCATTGCAACTAACATTCATCCATCTACCCATGCCTACCTATTTTGTGCCAGCCACTTATATTGCTAGGGCACGAATTAACAGACAGGAATGAATGTGGGCCCTGTCTTCCTAGTATACTTGAGAAGACACATGATAGGTATTATGATATAATGCTGTAATGGAGGTCTGACCCAGAAGACAAAGCAACTATAAGCATTTTGCTGGGGTGGGGGTGGAGGGAGTGCAGGCTGTCCAGAGAAGGGAACATTTGAGGACAATCCTTCTGAATGGTGGGTAGAAGTTGAGAAAGGGTATTCCAAAGGGAGAGAAAGGCGAGGCACATCCTGTTCTGAAGTGTTTGTGGGGCAAGACAGCAGGAGGGATAAGGCTGAGGAGGAGACTGGAACAGAGTCTGAAGGATTTTGTATAGCAGGTAAAGGAATGAGACTGAGGCCTTTCTTTGGAGGAGGACACATGGATCCAGTGGTTTTTTAAGCAAAGGAGTGGCATGATGAGATTTGTATGAAGATAATTCTGGACAATGTGGAGGGTAGAGGGAGTGTGGCCAGGCTGTTGTAGACTAAAATTAGTCAAGGGAAGATGATGACCCGTAAAGTGGAAGGGAGATGAGGTGACAGGCTGTGGAATCATTTTTAGGGCAAAATTGACTGGACTTGGGAAGGATGATGGATGGCTGACATTTCAGATTTAAGGAGCTACAGTATTTCTTCTTCTTCCATCTCTTTTTCCATACTCCCCCATCTTCCCCAATTGAACCAACTTCACACTACCCCTCCACTTTTGTATGCAACAAAAACAAACATGCACACAAGACAGTTTCTGAGATCATCTTTAATGTTCGGACATAGGCCTAGCCACCAGCTGCCACCTCCCCACACTTCAGTTCTATCACCACCTTCTAAGTTCTCTCTTCATCTCTTTCAAGATTTAAACATTTCTTTTAGACTCATGAATCACTTTTGTTAAAGCATCATGACCAGAAGGTAATGAGATCTTCATTATTACATATCTAAAGTGGTTCTGGAACTGAAAGGTAAGTGTTCTACATGGAATGAAAACTACTGTATTTTTAAAAAAAGATTTTATTTATTCATTTTGAGAGAGAGGGGAAGGGAAGAAGAAGGAGAGGGAGAGAAACATCAATGTGTGGTTGCCTCTCGGGTCCCCCCTACAGGAGACTTGGCCTGCAACCCAGGCATGTGCCCTGACCAGGAATCCAACCGACAACCCTTTGGTTTGCAGCCCATGCTCAATCCACAGAGCTACACCAGTCAGGACTATTGTATTAAAAGATATGAATAGAAAGACAACTTAAGCAAAATATTAAAGGCCTGAAAGAATGGAAGAGATATACCCTATTCTAGGTGAGAAAACACATCATTATAAAGATGTCATTTCTCTGAAAATTGTCTACAAGTTAAATATCATATCAAATATCAATGGGACTTTTTTGTGCACAAAGATAATCTAATAATTTGAATCTAATAAAAGTAAAATCTAAGGGTTATCTCTTTCCCTCTCATACTACCCTTTGTCTAATTCTTCTCTAAGTCCTGGCATTCTGCTTCAAAATACATTAACCCTTGGGTTATTTCCTCTCTATTTCTCCATCTCCAATGCTACTCTGGTCCCAGTCACCATTCTCTCTTACCTGGCCTGTTATGATAGCCTCTTACAATGGCTTCTTTATTGCTCTTCTTGCTTCCCTTTTAGCCCTCTAAGTTCCTTGTCCACATAGCACCCAGAATGATCTTTGCAAATGTAAGTCATTTCTTGTCACTTCCTGCTTAAAGCCCTTAAGTGGCTTCCAAATATTATGTGAATGGAACCCCATCTTTTTGCCTCAGCCTTCTAGAATCCTCATGATTTGATCCATGCCAACCTCCCTAACTTTAACACATACCATATGTATCAATCCTTCTCCCTCTTTCTTTATCCTTGGGTCAAACTAGCCCTCTACCATCCTCCAGCAAACCCATTCCCACCTCAGAGCCTTTGCACATACTGCTGCTTCTGCCTAGAGAAACTTTCCTTTGATTCTCTATGAAGGACACCATCTTGCCATCTTCAAGGAGGGCTTTCTTTTCAAGTCCCCACTCCAATCCATGTCACCCTCTAACACATTACCATGTTTAGTTTGTAAAATAACATTTTAAAATAGCACTATCCAAGATTCATTCATTTTCTCTTTATTGACTCTCTTTTCTTTCTGGAGGGGTCTTATCTTCTTCACTATTTCTTTTCTTTTTAATCCTCACCTGAGGACATGTATTGATTTTAGAGAGAAAGGAGGTGCGGGGGAGAGACAGAGGAAGAAACATCAGTTGGTTGCCTGCTGTACACGCCCCAACTAGGGATTGAAACTGCAACCTAGGTATGTGCCCCAACTGGGAATTGAACCTGAAACCTTTTTTTTTTTTCCCTTTTTGTGCTGGGGACCACGCTTCAACCAACTGAACCACCCCACCAGGGCTTCTTCACTATTTATTATCATCACTTAGAATGGTGCCTGGCATCTTAAAAGGTGCTCAGTAAATATTTGTTGAGCGAATAAATGAATGTGTCAGATGAAAAAGAATACCTATTTTTAATTTTGACTAGAACTGGCAGAATGGGGTGACTAGTGACTTGGGGTGGAGAACACACAATATAGTGTACAGGTGATGTTGTAGAATTGTGCACCTGAAACCTGTATAATTCTGTTAACGAGTATCACCTCAGATGAAAAAATAAAGTGCTGTCCAGAAAGTTTGCATCAACTTTCTCCGTCAACCATATAAAATAGTGTTCTATGCCTTATACGTCATCCCAATACTAGATTTATCTTTTTAAATTTGCAAGGAGTGTGTTTGTCAGTTTTGCAGTTGTAAGTGTAGCTTAAAGTGTCTGTGATTTCAAATAATGGGCCAGTACTTTAGGTATCAGTGCTCCCTAGAGCGAAAGTGTTGGAGGCTGTTTCTTGAGCAGATACTTTTCGGACTCTGGCGCCTAAGGTCCCGACCACGTGTTCTTAAACTGCCACAGGACCGCCCCGGGGCCGCCCCACCAGCCATTCACTGCCTGGGAGCTAAACGCTCCCGGACCGGCTTCCCGGCCCTCCATTCGGCGCATGCTCCCTCCCAGCCAGAGTCCGGAGTCCAACCTCCACGCACCGGTTGTACAATTCCACATTCCCCTTCTCACTCCCTCTCCGCACAAGGCGTTTGTCGCGGTGTGTTTGCGTCATCGCGCCACGCCACCACTAGACCCCGGTGAAGATGGCTGCAGCCGTTCTTAGTGGGCCCTCTGCGGGCTCCGCGGCTGGGGCTTCTGGAGGGACCGGGGGTCTTTCGGCGCTGGGCTCAGGCCCGCGTCTCCGAATGCTGCTGCTGGAGAGCGTGTCCGGGTTGCTGCAGCCGCGAACGGGGTCCACCGTTCCTCCCGTGCATCCCCCAGTCCGCTCGGCCCCTCATTTGCCCGGGCTCATGCGCTTGTTGAGGCTGCATGGGACGGTGGGCGGGGCCCAGGTGAGTCAGTGTCCTGCATGCCCGCGGCCCTGTTGGAAGGTTGGCGTAGTAAATCTACGCCAGGTTCACGGTGAACTGCAGTTTCTAGGGAGTGTGGAGGGAAGGGGAGGTGGGGGGAAGGAGAGCTGGGGGCAGAAAGTGAATCTGGATTATCAGTCTGCACAAAATTCACGTATTTTTTCCTTTATCAGTCACGAGTAGAAAGTAGGGAGAATATGGGCCTCTTTTTTCTGTTCCTAGGCTATTGGTAGTCACAAACGAGTAGGTTCCTTTCCAGGCCTCGCCACTCACTTGATTTATGATGTTTAAGCTTCTTTTTCCTCGGGCAGTACCTGTTTTGGGGATTGTTTTCTACTTCGAGTAAATGGACGTATTCAGCAAGTGACTATTTACTGAAGGCCAAGTACTGGACCCTTCAGTTAGTTGTAGAATGCGATGGCAGTGAACAAATACTCATAGTTTTAAAACACTATGAGCATTGTATAGTAGAGAACCTCTAACCTGATCTAGAGAATTAGCTTAGAGATATTGGAGTTTAAGCTGAGACCCCCAAGGATGAGTAGGGGTTGGGTAAGTAGGGAAAATGGGGAGGATGGTTCAATCAGTGGAGAGCTCGTGTGGAAAGGCCCTGTGGTAGGAAGGAACTGAAAAAATAAATAAATAAAAAGGTGTTGTGCCTGAAGCTCAGGTGGAGGGAAGGAGAATGGGCGCTGTGAAGCTGGTACGGTGGGTGGGTAGTGGACAGACCATGCAGAGCTTTTTAGTCTGGCTTAGAAAGGTTCTTTGGATGTATTAAGGGTAGAAACTAATACCTGTTTTGTTCTGTAATTAGAAACCTAAGTGTCACCCACCCTAAACACTTTTCTTCTTCCTCACACATCTCCGTATGTATGCTTTGTCAGATCCTGTTGATTTTATTTATCCTCTGAGTAGTTTTTAGGTCTGTCCACTCTTTTCCATATCTTTGTCATTGCCCCCATCCCAGCTTGAACCTCCATCTTGCCCAGTTGAAGGCACTGATTCTAAGAATACATAACATGTCTAACCTATGGTAGGTGTTCCTTTAGTATGTCTTGCCCTCAATATTCCCCCAGTCCTCCCACAAATGTTCCCCATTCTTCAAGACTAGTGTACATGAGGTCTTCCTTGTGCAGCCTTTGTTACTGGGACCTTCCTAGTGCTATGCTTTCTTACAGAAAGAGGGTTGTCACAATCTGCTGGGTGGTTCAATTATTTTAGCCCTAAATTTATGAGGGGTATAACCTCATTTATTATGTTAACATCACTCCTCATTGTTGAGGGTGACGGAACCATGCCTCTGCTATCCTCCCAGTTTAAGAAGCAGGAGGTGATTATATATTTTCCTTCTAAATCCTCCTCCTTTAATTCATGTGATTCCTAAGTATTTCCGAAATATCATCTATTCTGCCTATAATTATGTGATTTCTTTCATCATCTCTTTCAAGTCTTCCTCTCCTCCCTCCAGGTGAGCTACATGAACTTAATGTCTTGTTTATTTTCTCTGAGTGTTTAAAGTCTAGTACAATTTTGAATAAAGAAAAGAGTGATGTGGGAAACTAGACTCCTCCCTTTACTATTGTCTGTACCACATTTTTGGGTATATCTGGCCTTGATTCTTTTTTCTACTTATGTCTCTGGCATTGGGTCTTTAATATGTGGAACTGTATAGTTTCCTTTGCATCTCCATAGATTTTCATTCAGTGAACATTTATTGAGTATTTGTTATATGTTAGCTACTATTCCTTATCTTTAGGTAGAGAAATAAGGGAAATTCCCTCAGAGAATTTCTAGTCTAGTGAGATAAGTAATGAAGGTAAGTAAATAGGCTTGGAGAGAAAAACAGATCCATTTTTTGGTCCATCCATCTAGGCTTAATTACCAATATTGCTTTACCATAGGTACTGTAAATTAATTTGTTCCAAAATACAACTACCTTAGTACAATTCACAATTTCTTGTTTGGATTATCGTAACAATCTCCTAACTGGTCTCCTTACCTTCACTCTTGCTCTTTTTTTCTTTTAAATATATTTTATTGATTATGCTATTACAGTTGGCCCAATGATTTTTTGCCCTTTGTACACCTCCACCTGGTACCCCCATTCCCTCCAACAATCCCCCCTTAGTTCATGTACCTGGGTTGTGCGTATAAGTTCTTTGTCTATTCCATTACCTATGCTGTTCTTAACATCTCCCTATCTATTTTGTACCTACCAATTTGTGCTTCTTAATCCCTGTGCCTTTGCCCCCATTTTCCCCTTTTCCCCTCCCAACTGATAACCCTCCAAATGATCTCCATATCTATGATTCTGTTCTTGTTTTGCTTGTTTGCTTAGTTTGTTATTTGGATTCAATTATAGTTGTGAATTTATTACCATTTTAATGTTCATTGTTTTGATTTTCTTTTTCTTAAATAAATCCCTTTAGCATTTCATATAATAAGGGTTTGGTGATGGTGAACTCCTTTAGTTTTACCTTGTCTGGGAAGCACTTTACCTGTCCTTCAATTCTAAATGATAGTTTTGCTGGACAGAGTAATTTGTGATGTAGGTCCTTGTTTTTCATCACTTTGTATACTTTTTGCCAGTCCCTTCTAGCCTGCAAAGTTTCTTTTGAGAAATCAGCTGACAGATAGTCTTACAGGAACTCCTTTGTAGGTAACTACCTGCCTTTCTCTTGCCGCTTTTAAGATTCTCTCATATCTTTAACCTTTGGCACTTTAATTATGATGTGTTTTGGTGTGGTTTTCTTTGGGTCCATCTTGTTTGAGACTCTGGGCTTCCTGGACTTGTATGTTTATGTACTTCACCAAATTAGGGAAGTTTTCTTTCATTATTTTGTCAACTAAGTTTTCAATTTCTTGGTCTTCCTCTTTTCCTTCTGGCACCCCTATGATTCAGATGTTGGTATATTTAAAGATCTCCCAGAGATTCCTAAGCCTGTCCTTGTTTTTTGTTTTTTAATTCTTTTTTCTTCTTGCTGTTCTTATGGATTGAATGCTTTTTCTTTCCTTGTGTTCCAAATCATTGATTTGATTCTCGGCTTCATCCCTTCCACTATTGGTTCTCTATAGGTTTTTCTTTATGTCACTTAATGCAGCCTTAATTTCAGCCTGGGTCTTTTTTATGCTGTTGAAGTCCCCAATGGGTTCCTGAAGCATCCTGATAACCAGTGTTTTGAACTGTGTATCTGATAGGTTGCTTATTTCCATTTTGTTTAGTTCTTTTTCTGGAATTTTATTTGTTCTTTCATTTGGGCCATATTTCTTTGTCTCTCCATTTTGGCAGCCTCCCTGTGTATGTTTCTGTGTATTAGGTAGAGCTGCTTTGACTCCCTGTCTTAGTAGAGTGGCCTGTTGTAGAAAAGCACACGTGTTAGGTTGTATGGGGCAGAGCCTTTGGTAATCTCCGGGGCTAGGCAACCTGTGTGTCACTGCTCTGTTGCTCTGTGTTGGGGAAGGCTTGCAGAAGGGACAATGCCACTGCCTGGCCTTTGGAGTTTTGCCAGGGTGGAAGCTGTCTCCTGGCACTCACATTTCACTTTCTCTCCATATGCCACTGGTGCCCTTCCAGCTGTTGCCCTGGTGCTGAATCCCAAAGAAGGTGGGTCTGTGTGAGCCCTAAGTCCATTGTGGGCCCATTACGAGGAATCTTTTGAGAAACTGGTAGTTTCTTCACCATCCTAACCCCGACTGGTTTTTACAGCCAGAAGTTACGGGGATTTATCTTTCTGGCTCTGGAACCCTGGGCTGGGTGGTCTGCACTGGGGCTGGGATCCCTCACTCCAGAGGTATCCCTCCTGCTTTTTATCCACCACACCAGGATTTGGGATTGCCTGTTTCTACCTCTGCCTTCCTACACCTCTCTGCCCTCTCTTTCTCTGTGTCTCTGCTCCTCCTACCCATCTGGATGAATGTGGCTTCTTTATTTTTTTTGTTTATTTTTTAAAAAATATATATGTTAAATGGGGAGGGTGGGAGGGGGGACTGGATTGGGAGTAAAAAGGAGAAAACTGTATTTGAACAATGATTAAAAAATAATTTAAAAAATGATATATAAAAAAAGAAAAAAATATGTTATTGATTATGATATTACAGTTGCCCCATTTCCCCCATTTACTCCCCTTTGTCCTGCACATCCCCTTTCACCCGAATTCTCCCCCTTTAGTTCCTGTCCATGGGTCATACATATAAGTTCTTTGGCTTCTGTATTTCTCATACTGTCCTTGCCCTCCCCCTGTCTATTTTCTACCTACTATCTATGCTGCTTATTCTCTGTACCTTTGCCCTCCTTCCCCTTCCCCTGTTGATAACCCTCCATGTGATCTCCATTTCTGTGGTTCTGTTTCTGTTCTAGTTGTTTGCTTAGTTTGCTTTTGTTTTTGTTTTAGGTGTGGTTGTTAATGATTGTGAGTTTGCTGTCATTTTACTGTTCATATTTTTAATCTTTTTCTTAGATAAATCCTTTTAACATTTCATATAATAAGGGCTTGGTGATGATGAACTCCTTTAACTTGGCCTTATCTGGGAAGCACTTTAACTACCCTTCCATTCTAAATGAAAGCTTTGCTGGATAGAGTAATCTTGGGTGTAGGTCCTTGCCTTTCATGACTTGGAATACTTTCCAGCCCCTTCTTGCCTGCAGGGTTTCTTTTGAGAAATCAGCTGACAGTCTGATGGGAACTCCTTTGTAGATAACTGTCTCCTTTTCTCTTGCTGCATCTAAGATTCTCCCCTTACCTGTAATCTTGGGTAATGTAATAATGATGTGCCTTGGTGTGTTCCTCCTTGGGTCCAACTTCTTTGGGACTCTCTGAGCTTCCTGGACTTTCTGGAAGTCTATTTCCTTTGCCAGATTGGGGGAGTTCTCCTTTATTATTTGTTCAAATAAATTTTCAACTTCTTGTTCTTCCTCTTCTCCTTCTGGCACCCCTATAATTCAGATGTTGGAATGTTTAAAGATGTCCCGGAGGTTCCTAAGG